AAAATATTATTTTATAATATTTAAAAGAATAATATATATGTACATAGTTTAATTTGAAGAATACATTAATGAGTAATGACCATATATTTTAAAACTAAACAATATAATTAAATATTTTATAAGCTACCCATTTGTAGATGATTAAATGTGTTCTTTATTCGTATTTAAAGTAACAAAGGAAATTAAGAAAATAGGCAGTTTACAAAACACCTACCTCCTTATTATATTATAATATAATGTTGATCTAAAATCCAGATAAAAACTCACGGTGGCACAATTAACCATTTAAAACGTCATTAAAAACATAATACAAACCGTATTATAAGTTTTACGAATAAGCACTAAAATAGTATATGTTATATAATAATATGTACCTACTTGTATATTGTCAATAAACACAATTAACTAAATATTATACTGTTTTAATAAAGGTAGTTAAAGAACAACTGCGACATAAATCAGTATATAATATACCAATCACTGAATCACCTTTTGTTAAATAAAACACCGTGCATATAAATATATAATTTTAATTATAACTTAAAATAATAAAATAATAATAATAACCCTATAAAAAATCAAGTAAATCAGAAGGTCGTACCTATAAAACGTTATGAGAAAATATTGATAAAGACAATATTAATATTAAATATTTTTTTTAAATTTATTCTTATCTCTTAGAACACTACACATAAAAAATGATAAATATCATAAGGGTAGGTATACTACCAAATAATTTATTTAAATATGTCAAATAGTTCATAAATATAAACATATATAAAATAATATATAATTATATAGTCTTTTTTACTTATTAGACCGTTACATTAGTTAAATTGTTTATTAGATTCCTCTTAAAGTATATGCATGTTAACGTTTTCTCAGTATAGCGGAACAATAGTTAGATATCTACGTAACATGGCGTTGGAGACATTACAGCAGAGACATTTTAAAAGACCGTTCCGTATCAAAAATCGTATTACGTGATTGCAGTTGCAGTAAATAATATCTCTTATAAAAAGTATACGCAATTACATTATAAGAATTATTTGTAAAGATACATAGTGACATAGTGCTATCAGACTATGTTTGTGTTGTAAACCAGTATTTTAAATAAAACTATTTTAAAAAATTTTATAATATACAATATAATATATCATACATATACCATGTATATTTTTAGTTTCATTAAAATGTCCTAAAAATTGGTTTAATATAAATTTAGTAAATTATAATATGTATGTTTTGTACATTGACTATAGTTATTGTTATCATTAATTAATTTGAAAAACAGTTTTGAAAATTGAAATAAAACCTAATTTATATTATTCATTTATAATATATAAAAAATATATAACATATATAATTTTACAATAGCCTATATAAATATGAATACTTTATAATAAATAATAAATAATAATGTACCTATAAATTTAATTATATTAGTAGTTTTATTATTTGAGGAGTTCAAATAGTTCAATAAAGTATAATATCAAGGTCTTAACAACTTGCCAATTTATTTCTAACCTTCTTTATACCTACTCTTCAAAGTTCAAAATCATATAATAGATATTATATTATATAGTATATCCGCACACAATAAACTAGTCTATAATAATGATTTACTTTCTTTAGGAATTACAACAGAATAAAATAATACAATTTTTATTATTACTAAATATTATTATCTTTTATTTGACGTATAATAGATTTAAAACAAATCTCCAAACAAAGCACATAAAAGTACCAGAATCAAGGTTACAAAATGCATCAATGTTTACTGTTTAGGTTTGCAACGTTTTAGTTAGTATTCTAAGTATCAACAATGCGTATAAGAATTGAATATATTTTGTAGATTACTGTACTTTAATAAGGTATAGATTATTATAATATTTCCAAAAAATTACTAAATATGAAATATAAGAAATAAGAAATTCAATTTTATAGAACCTATTCAAGTTAATTTGTAACCATTGTATAGTATCCATTTTTTTTATTTTAAATAATAAATTAATATACAATCTTTATCAGTTGACACAAAAGGCATGTAAGCTGAGAGTAAAAAAAAAAGTCACCCAATAGTGACACTTTCAGTACAATATAAATTAAATATTTAACTGCAAATTATGAAACAACAAAAATATACCAATTTTCATATTAAAAAATAAAATGTATTCATATTGAAATTATCTGCATTTTTAAAATAACGAGTATTTCTATACTAGTTTCCACCAATGCCAACCGATTGTATATTATATTATATTAGAAATTGTCATACATAATAACATTTATAAATAAATAAATAATTTGAAATTGTATGATATTTATTATTAAATGAATTATTAACTAAATTATGACAGTATGGTAGGTGACAATAAATGTTAGGCTTAGGTATATTATATCCATATACTATTATGTTTACCTATAATAATCTATATAAAATACATATAAATCATAAACAATAGGTATAATATGCAATTTTATATTTTATTTTTTTTTTGAGTAGTTTTTAAGGCTTCGACGGCTGAGTTCATTAGCCTGGTAGGGTTGGTTCAGTTGGGTTGGGATGGTCGGGACGGTTGGGATAAACGGTTAGGAATACGTGTATATGTGGCAAGGTTTTTGCGCACTACGAACCCGGGTGGTCACCCATCCGAGAACTAGTGGCAGCGGCAGTTGCTTACTCCCAATCACGAAGCGTGATTGATTTCAGCAATTGCGTCTCGCCTAGCCCCAATATTATATTATGTTATATTATTATTATAAACTGTAAGATTTACGATTCACTGATGATCAACATAATAATATAATATAACGGTTAGCCTGAGTTTGTATTCGTGATAAGGCAATAATATATTGTATAGTCTATGCCTTTATGGAATCTATGGCATAGACTCTATGCTCATTACATTGTTTCTACATAAACAAATTGCACGGCTATTCTCGAATGTAGGGAAGTAGATTTCTTTTGAGATTCACTTCTGCATTGTCATGTAGTTTTTAATTCTATTCAATTATTCTTTCTTTCTTTGAAGATTGTATGTTTTGTTTTGAATGTATCAGTATATACGTCACATAGTACAATTTGCCTGACAGTCAAATATACTTATCCGGCGGTTATGACAATGCAAAATTGAATACGCATAAGTTTCTGCTACTTTTCAAAGTTAATCAACTGTTTTAGAGAGTCAATTTGCTGCTATACAGTTTCTGTAATATACCTGTATTAGATTCCATAATCGTTTTTCCGTTATTTCGTAAAAATTTGATAGTACTTTCGATTTACAAAAATTAGGTAAACTATATCATACATGTATTATAGACATTACCTACGTATTATACAGACTATGATATCTAACCTATGATATTTTTATAGTACCATCTACAAATGTTATAAATAATTTCCAATTTGATAATATACTTAGATAGGTAGTTATATATACTTGCGTATATATTAGGTGAGTAAGAACTAAAAAAATAAAATTAAAATAGATACAATAGATAAATACCTAATGAATCGACTTCACTGTATATATAGACACATTATACTACTTATAAAGTTTAATGTCATAACACAAAATCTTAGAGGATCAAAATACTGGTGAACAATTAACAAAATCGTTAAATCAAACCTAAACTGAATACAATTTGCATCAAATTGTTAATCGTGGTGCGCTCAGCAGTCGTTCAAGTCACCAGATTAAAGTTTCCGGAACAACAATATAGTAAGATATATATATAGATAACCTACGTCCAATAATCATTACATTAATCATTATCGTTACTGGCAAGAATATTATAATTGTAATAAACGCCGTCGTATACATAACATGACGACCTCGACGGACTAATGAATAGGAAAACGCACATCGATTATTAATATTATTTCGTTCCGTAGGTACCTATAAAAATATTTACAACTACGCGGGAATATAATATTATTATTATTTTTCGACACGACGATTACAGTTTATTATAATATTATTCTCCGTAGTACACACTCTACATTGTCTTATCGGATCCAAGACGATTAAATCAACGACTATCAAATGACACGAACATTTCCAAATGTCCTAATTTTTTGTTTTCTATATAGTCAGCATATTAATCTGAATACGGCACGTCGGGAGCGGTGGATTAGAGCAAATAAAAAAATATATATCGCCGGATACGACACTGCTTCAGTGTTCTGACGCAGTTTTACACGCGGACGACGGACAATAAAATATATACTGGCGAGACGCCGATCGAAACTTTCACATGGCGGCGGCAGGTACGATAATTATTGGCGGCGGCGGTTACGCGCTATTACGTTATATAGGTACGTACATATATAATATTATACTGAATAATGTTTCGTCGTGACACAGAAATCTTCGCGACATATAACTATACGGTAGACGATAACAATGAAGAATATCGGGTCGTATAGAGTCGCTGGGAATTATTTGCAAGAAAGTGAATTTCCCGGCGTGGGACCCGAGCATCGCACCTCAGCCACCCTTTGGCGGTATCGAACAGACGCATTGTTTCCGTGCATAGGTAAGACTGTTATGTGGATCTGCACGCACGCAAAGAAAGTGTAAGTCGATATTGGGCAACCACTATACGCCGATGGTACTATAGTGACATGATAATATTATGTGTACAAGAGATCCCGCTCGAAATACAGTCGTCAACGACGACTTACAACATTGGGTACCAATAGTATCTACCAAGCACGTTGAGCACTAAACGTCTATAACATTATGTCTAGGTACTATATTGTTCACTAGGTAAACGTCAAGTCGCTATATTTGCCATTCTAATACTACGGTGATTATGGTTTTATTACAAGACATACCCATAGTTATTATTATTGGCGATGACCGTCTGTTTGGTCATAGATCGAAAGCACACACATGCTGCAGCAGTCCAGCACGACGTATCCCATGTAGATCGCTTGCCCTATTTCTTCGCCGTGTCGAGAGGGCGAGTACTCCGTTAGCAGGTCGCTCCGATTATCCAACGAATTGTAACGGAAAAGTCACCAAGTCAAACGAAACATAAAATATTAAAAATGAATACGTTGCCAGTTGTAGTGTGCGGATCGATCGCGCGGCGACGACCACGAGCGTGTTAACAGATACGCGGTACACGGTGTGCGCGACCAGGACGGTCGTTTCTTCACTACTGAACCGCTTACCGCGCTCGGAGTTCGGACCGTCAGCGGTGGTGGCGAGGCGGACCGAGCAGTCCTCAGGTTTCGCCGCCGCTCCGCCGCTGCCTCCTCCGACGGACAGGTCGTTGCCGCCACCGGCTGATCGTCGATCGTTGCCGATCGCGACCGATCGTCGTCGGTTTGTCACGCTTTCACGACGTGTCAACACACGCAGCGCACACACGCTGAATCTACGCGAATATGCGCTACGGTACGCTCGCCGCGGGGACGACGACAAAAAATAAGACATTTAAGACTGTTCCTTTGCGCCAGCTCCGACCCCCCCCCCACTCCCTAGCAACGATTGTGCCCTGTAATAAGTCTGAAAAAAAAAAATGCGTTTTAAGCGTTTTTATTATTGTTGGTTTCATGTTGTCGTTTGAGATTGTGCAGTAATTTGTATTAAGTATGAATATACTAATAAGTAATAATAACACACACTACGGTGCCGTAGACGGGAGTTTAATATGGTGGGGGAAGGGGGTTCATCATAGTAAAAAAATTTAAATGTTATAAGTACCTAAATATATAATTACATATGTATATAGTATATACCTGTATAGTTATATACTATATGTAGTTAGTGGGGGGCTGAACCCCCTAAGGCCCTGACACACTATATAATATTATAACCGTAAACGAACGTTATATTACAGCAAATTTTATTATAATATTATTGTTAAAAATTCCGTATGACGTCGATATATATTATATTATTATTGTTGTTATTATTATTATTATTATTATTATTATTATTATTATTATTATTATTATTATTATTATTATTATTATTATATTGTTTTCATTGTTTGGCCAAAAGGACTAGAGGAGAAAAATCGAAGAAAATGCGAATAATTATTGTCGAAAAACGCTTGAATCCAATCTATTTTGTTTTCCCGTGTCCTAACCGTGCGTATGATACAATAGATGTAATATTCAGACACACGTGTATGTGTGTGCGTGATTGTATGTGCACGCAAAAACGACAGCGGAAGTAACTACACAACATTAATGCTTATAGGTATAATAATACGGGTGATAATGTGTCAAAAACAGTATTTTCACTATAGTAAATGTTTAAAAAAAAATTAAAACACAAAGCACTATAGTTGACGCTTGGTACGGCGCGTGCGGTGTGTCTATGTGAAATAGAAAATATTATTATTATTTTAACGTCTAAATCGCTTCCATAATTTGGAAACTGTTAGGTTCCAAGATTATGTCCCGATATAATAATATGCATAAGATTTTTTTTATTATTTTTTGACGTGGACTGCGTATAGTGACAATTTATATATTAGGTAGGTACCTATCAGATACACGCGTCAATCTGTTTATGTATATACCTAAATATACGCACAAACTCAATCTCTCGCACGTTATCTGGTGTTTGAAATTTTCAATTTTTCTTCTCATCTTGACGTTTACATTTACACACTACCATTACACTTTCCAATGTATTGTATAGTTGAATAATAATTTAATTATTCCTGTGAAATTGATATAAGCATACCCAAAAATATTTTTACCTTCAGTAGATAACGTATAGGCTATATCATACAATAATTACCTTTAATACTAAACATCCCAATACCGTATAATTATTATGGTATACGCGCATAAAATATAATATATCGTATTGTTATTACTTTCATAAGCATCTGTTTACTAGTGACAGTTTGTTAATAATAATATGTAACATGTTTAATAAAAGGGAAATCTATATAATACCTATATAAAATATTTAAAAATATCTAAACATGATTCTATAAATTATTATGATTTATGATGACTCTGTAATATTTTTAAAAACTAATAGGTATCCATTTATATGAATATAAAATTATGATTACAAGGTTAAATTTGAATTTTCTTACTCATTTGACATGTCCAATACGATTATTTTAAGACTTTTTAGAAATAAGAGCGCAATTCGTCCAGATTGCAGAATGATGTGATATTGCTTATCTACCAATTTATTAAGCTCGTTAAAAACATATGATACAAAAAAAAACCATTATATAGGTACATTCTAATCATCTATAGAACAGATTTAAATATGTAGAGAAAAATAGTTTTAAGAAAAACTTGTATTGTTAAATAATGGGTTAGACATTTTTTTATAACCCAAATATGTGTATTGTATGACTTTTAGATTTTAAGCGGAGGCGGGGCGATGAATGTATTGTTTATTTCATTATTTGGTTTTACAATGATATGTGTGTGTGTGTGTTATTTTTTGTCTGTCTGTCATTTTTTGGAGCAGTACAAATTCTTCAATCTTCAATTTTGAAAGTGGTTTCTAGTAGAAAATTAGATCTAATTGGTATTTTGGGAGATCGAAAGCATTAGGGAAGTAATTTTCAAGTAGGTAAAAATTGTACAAAATAATCGGGAAAAACAAAATTACAGAAAATATTTATACGAACCCAGTTTTTAACAAAATTAATTTTATGTTTTTGTTGTAATTCAAAAACCAATAACCATAATAAACAATAAACATATCACATATTTATTCACATATATAATTAGTATATTACCATATTCTATACATGATATACATAATTTTCAAAACATCTTAGTTTTGTATGTGTTAGATCATATTATATGTATATTGTATTATTTATAGGCTTTTGAAATCATTTACTTTTTCTTTTTTTGTCGTCTTCTGCATAATAACATTGTGTTGATGAGTAAAAAACATCATATTGTTTATTATACTATTAATTATTATAAAAGGTAATACCACAGTATATATTTATATCAAATATTATTGTTATTAACTTTTGAATTAATACAGACTTTCACAGATCGAAAATAATTTGCAAATTTTCGTGAATTTGACTAAGTTTATCATTTAAATTTGAACATCAAATGCTTATAAAAAAAAATTATCTCTATATATTTTTAATGAATTTAAATTTCTATAAGAACAACAACTTATGTGGTATATACTATATTGTAACTCATTTTCGAGTTTTTAACCGAGCATACAATTTTTATCAACATGAATTAAAGCTTTTTAAAAAAAATTGTGTCTGTTTATTTTTGGTATTTCTTTTTAACGGGTTATTGTACAATTTACGAAAAAGAATTTTATTGTATATTAAACTGTCTAGCTTTTTTACTAAAAGTTATTTATTTTATCTACTGTTATACTTACTAATTATTATAGCCTATAAGTTTAATTTATTTGAATATAGGTATACAGGTATTATAGGTGTGCAATATCTTCACATATTACGATGTACCTAATAATTATGTAAACACAATAAATTCGATAAAAAAAACGTATACAATTGTATAATATACTGTATAACTGTTACAAGGAACCTGTAGTAATATGAATGCATCGTAGGTAATTATTAGTTTATGTGCATCTTACCTTGACGAGTCAGCAATAGTCACCTGAAGTGTATAATCCTCGGAAAACTGGCGACGCGTTTAGTAGTCGGACCGGAGGTGATGAAACACATAAAAACACGTAAGTACAATAGATTCGTTTCACCCGACAAAAAAAAAATGTGGTAGCACTGCAGCATACCTTTGTAATAAAAACGCATAAGCAGACGCCAGACGATATTATAACTAATGACGAGAACTATGATTTGAGTTACCAAGTAACCGCGATTATTTCCGTTGGTCGTTGACTGTTTTTTTCGGCACGGGACTGTTTTAAAGTCAAGAACTTCGCAGGAATGTGTCACCAGGGCTCTTGCAGGTATAGGAATTTATTTTGGAATTAACGGTACGGTTTTTCGTCCTGATATATATAATGTAAACAGTATGCTATTATTTAAACCGTAATGAGTTCGACGTCCTCCCCTCCCCTATAAATTGGTCAATGGGGACGCCACACTTTGTATAATAGATTTATTATTTTTATATACAGGGTGTAACAGGAAGACCTGACAAAAAAAAAAAATTATGCTACTTAAATGTATGGCAAAAATTGTGAAAATTATATAGCAAATAAATAATTTAAGAAATATGCTCATGTCAAGAAATTCCCAAAAATAAAATTTTGAAAAAAATTATTATGTTTTAAATTAGTTTACTCAAAAAAATATTGATATTTAAAAAAAATCTAAAAAATAAACTACTTGACTTAGATAAATGTTTTTACCATCAAAATATTTTTAATAGTCATATTAACAAATAGGCTATTTTGAATTTTTCCAAATAAATTTAAATCAAATTTTTAATTTTTATTTTCATTAGGTATTAAAAAATAAAAATTATTTTTTTATATTATAAGTGTGGCGCACGTGATTATAAATTATATATGTATAATTATGTATTTTTTAAATATCGATTAGATCGAAAAGTTATTTTATCTGTCAGGTCTTACTTTATATTATATAGTTAATTATATTTTAATTATGTTTTGTTATAATTATAATATTTTATTACCTTCACCATAATATTATTATTGCATATTTTATTTCATTATTATATACTACACATATAGTACAAAATGTATAATACCTATAGTATATATGTGTGATTACGACGCCGTTATATACATTTTACGATTGCGTTTTGAATCGGGAGAAAAAATGTGGACCATGTCAATGTCGGATAATATTATATTATATTCGCTTGTTGTGATAAGTACATTTTATTTTTAATTATTATTAATATTTTCACAGCCGAATTTTGGCTTATTGCATGTTTATATTAAACTTTTATGTTGAAATAAAATATAAAATTAATTGGTTGTATTACCATAGATACTTGTGGAATGTAATTTTACATAATAGGATTACAAAATATGGAAAATAAACTGATGTTCTATTCGTATGTTTTGTGGAAATATTAAATAATAAAGATTTCAATACAAGATTAATAGTAATTGTATTGTCGATGATTTTTTATAAAATAACTTATGGTAAATACTAAATATTAAAGCTATTGTAGTATTGTTACATAACAATATAGTCGCATTTACAAATATTATACTCACATACAATGTGTGCAATTCTAACAATATGTTCATAAAAATTATAATATACACGGCCTGATTGATTTTTTTTTTTTTTTTAATTTACATAAAGGGTGTTATCCACTGAAGATAATATTACAATAGCCAATATAACATCACAATAAGCAATATCGTAACCTTAATCAAAAGAATTCACATGGACTATAGTTCGCAGACGTGAATATTGACGAATAATAAAACATGCCCTAAGAAATAACATAACATATATCTGTCTATAAATCAATGACTTCGAAAACTAATTATGT